ACTGTCCTCACAGCTGTTGTTAAGCGTGTTCCTCTTTTTCACTGACTCTCCAATTTACGAAGCATGATGTCCTTCCCCAGGGACTGGTCCTTCCTGACTTCATGTCCAAGGAACGAAAGGCAAAGTCTCGTCATCCTCGATTCTAAGGAGTGTGTTGCCTGTACATTTTTCAAGACAAATTTGTTTATTCTTCTGACAGTCCATGGCACTTCCAGTGTTCTTTGCCAACGTCATAATTCAACTACATCAATTCTTCTCAGGTCCTTATTCACTGTTCACTTTCATTTGCATATGAGGCAATTGAAAATATGGCTTCGATCAGATGCACCTTAGTCCTTAAAATAAATCTTTGACACTTAAAAGAGTTGTTTAGGTTTTTTTTTTTGCAGGCAATTTGCTTAGTGTAATACATATTTTCATTTCTGCTTCAATGAGTGTTGATTGTGGATCCAAGCAAAATGAAGTCTCTGACAACTTCAATCTTTTCTCGATCATTATGTTATTTATTGGTCAGGTTGCAAGGATTTTTGTTTTCTTTACATTGAGGTGCAACCCATATTGAAGGCTGTGGTCTTTGACCTTCATCAGTGAATATTTCAAGTTCTCTTCACTAATAATAAGCAAGGTTGTAGCATCTGCATATCACAAGTTGTTAATGAGTCTTCCTCCAGTCCTGATGCATATTCTTCATATAATATAGTTTCTCGGACTCAGCATATAAAGCAAGTAAATATGATGAAAAGATACAACCCTGACACACACCTTTCCTGATTTTGAACCATTCAGCATGTCCTTGATCTGTTCCAACAACTGCTTCTTGCTCTGTGTACAGGTTCCTCATGAGCACAATTAAGTATTCTGGACTAGCCAGTCTTCACAATGCTATCCATAATTTGTTAAAATCTATATAGTTGATTATCTTGGCTAGGCAACCAAGCACAAGTAAAGGTCTAATGGTGTTTTCTGCTTTCAGCCAAGATCCGGCTTACACCAGCAGTGATAAGCTTTCTTTTCCATCCTTTTCTGAAATTGGCTTGAAATTCTGGCAACACCCTGTACTGCTGAAAACATGTTTGCATTTTCTTCAGCTAAATATTATTTCCATGTGTGATTAATGATGCTGTTTGATGATTTTCACAGCCTGCTGGGTCACATTTCTTTGGAATGGGCACAAATATGGATCTCTTCCAGTCAGTTGGAAATTTCAGATTTCTTGGCTGTCTTCCAAATTTCTGGGTATAGATGAGTGAGTGCGTCTAGTGTTGCATCCGTTTTCTGGAAGATTTCAGTTTATATTCCATTAATTTCAGGAGCCTTGCTTTTCTCTAATGGCTGAAGTGCACCTTAGAGTTCATTCATCACCATCAGTTCTTGATCAGAAGCTATCTCTTGAAATGGTTGAGCATTGACCATTTCTTTGTTGTACAGTGACTCTGCGAAATCCATCCATCTTCTTTGGATGCTTTCTGCATTACTCAATATGGCACCCTTAGAATCCTTCAATCTTTCATGTCAAGACTTGGATTTTTTTTTCTTCAGTTCTTTTAGCTTGAGAAATACTAAGCTTGTTCTTCCCTTTTGATTTTCTGACTCCAAGTCTTTGCATATTTCATAACAAGTTGGTATGTCTTTTCAAGCTACCCTTTGAAATTTTCTGTTTAGTTCATTTACTTCCTCATTTCTTCCAGCCAAAAATTGTTAGATACAATAGCTTGCCTAGTCATAAAATTTAGTATTTAGTTCTTGTGTGTATCAGAATATAATTCCACAAAGTGATATTCAAATATATTATTGAATATGCTATATTTGTGGAAATAAAATTAAGGCCTAATGAAAGGATAATGTATTTTTGGTATTTAAGAGATTATTTTAAAAGATCATTCTAGTTATGCTTTGGCCAAAAGCAAATTACTTCTTGTTATTAATTATTAAGGTTTTTTTAGCCTTATGATAAAAGACCTAGAATATTTTTGTTATTTGAACTTTATTCTTGTAGGATGACATGAAAATGTTATTAATTGGCCTTTTATTGTCCTACTCAATGCTGCCTATTCTCCTCTAACTGTACTGATCGAGCCATAAGAAGTCTTTCTTGTTGGTAAAAAAAACAAAAAAAACACAAAAAACTACAAGTCAGCATGATGAGAAGGGAAGTAGAAAAACTCGCCTCATACAACTTTATTAGTTCAGTGTTGGATTTGCAGAGAAATGGATGAAATAAACTTGAGTGTATTTTTATGAACGGTGACAGGAATCAAGATGCACGTGCTGGGACGGAATGGCGTGTGCCAGTGAAGAGCTGTGAGCTACAATTCATAGATAGAGTAGATACTTATTAATTGTCAAATGAATAAGATGTGTTAACTGGGGCTTATAAAAGCCATGGTGTGGCACTGTAGGATCAGCACTGGACTGTGAACCACAAGGTCAGCAATTCAAACCCACCAGTTGCTCCTCAGAAACCCTATACAGGGTTCACTATGTGTTGGAACAGCAACAGCAACATAAATCATGAAGCCTAATAAACTTCATACCTGGACTTCGAACCATAAGGTTGTTGGTGGCAGTTCAAGTCCACCATCTGCTCCATGGGAGAAAGATGTGGCTTTCTGCTCCCAGCAAAGACTTACAGCCTTGAAAAGCCTATACAAGGTGTCTCTAGGAGTCAAAACCCACACGAGGACACTTAACAACAACATAAATTGTGAATGATTCTTGCAGAGGGAACAAGGTGAAGAAGCTGAGCGGTTGTTGTTGTTGTTGCTGTTAAGTGCCATCGGGTAATTTCTGATTCATTGTTGTTGTATTGTTAAGTGCTGTTGAGTCGATTCTGACCCATAGCAACCCTGGAGCAAGCTGGTGAGCTTGAACCACCGATCTTGTACTTCAAACTACTTTGCCGTCTGACGCATTAGCCCACAGCACCACAGCAGGACTTCTTCTGATTCATAGACCCTGTATAAGGTTGCTGAGTTGCTAGTGGGTTTGAACCACCAACTTTGTGGTTAGCAGTCCTGTGCTGCTTTTGCAACATCATGCCAGGGCTCATGGTGTGGCCTTCGGGGTCTGTTACCCCATGTGCATTTTCCGCAGGAAAGGGTCTATTCCTTATGTTTTATCCCAAGTTTTGGGATTCCTGTCGTCAAACTGGTATCAGCTCCATCTTGTCTATTGTCCTTCTAGGCCTTTTTCCTACCGAGTTTTGGGGGTGGGTTTAAACTATTGGCCTTCCAGTCAGAACTGAACACTTAACCATTGTGCCACCAGGGTTCCTTCAGCAATCTTGATAAATGTCCTGTGTTGTTGGGGACTGTGGTTCATTGGAAATGAGTACAAATAAGCAGGGAAACAAATTGGCTTCACAGAATAAGCACAGGACTGTGAACCAGAAGGTCAGTGGGTTGAGTCTACCAGCCACTCGGCAGGAGAAAGAGGAGGCTTTCCGCTCTCAACGAAGATCTGAAGCCTAAGAAATCCTGGGATGCCATTAGTGTTGAGTGTCTTGGAGTCACTTGCCACTCACAGCGACCCTGTATAGGATTATCAAGGAGCAGCTGGTAGGTTGGAACCACTGACCTTGTGACTAGCAGCCCAGTGCTTTACCTATAGTATCAGGAGTCCTAGCAAACCCTGTTATACAGGTTTGCTATGAGTTGGAACCGACTCCAAGTCATTTAACAACAACAAATAAGCTTTGGGAAGTAGTTACCAAAGCAAGCCTGTTGTTGGCACGTGATTCTGACTCATAGAAACTCTGTAGAACTGAGTAGAGCTGACTCATTAGGTTTTCATGGCTACAACATTTACGTAGTCCTGGTGTGGCACTATATGATAGGCACAGGACTGCTAACCACAAAGTTGGTGATTCAAACTCACCAGCTTCTCCTTGGAAACCCTATATAGGGTTGTTACAACTTGGAACCATCTCCAAGGCACTTAACAACAACAACCAACAGCATTTACAGAACAGCCAGCCTCATCATTTTCCCCAGAGTGACTGGTGGGTTTGAACTGCCAGTTGTTCAATTAACAGCCCAATCCTTAGCCCCTTGTACCACCGGGGGAAGTAGTGAAGGCAGGTATAACTAATGATTTCGTTTAAGCTCTGCAGAGCAAATTATGTATCATACAGTAGTTTGTCGGGGTCTGACCTCGACATACTTGTCACGAGTTTTTGGTTCACGAGGAGGGGAGATCCAGCGGCGATAGGGATAGCGAAAGAATACACAGACAAACAGAAGAAGGGAGACAATGAGGCACCCCAAAGCCAGGGTGGATACATCACTGGTGGGCAGGCTTGGGACTATAGGCATCATGGCCTCTGCAGGCAGCGACTCACTGCCCTGCAATCTTTAATGCATGCCTTCCAACCCGTAATGCACCACAATCTTTACTCCATGCCTTCCAACCAGTAATGCACACCTGGGGAGGCCCAGGCCTCTGTTTTATTTAGGGGAGGAGTTTCACACCAAGCTGGGAGGGACTGAAACAGGATACAGCTAACATCAGTAATTTTCCAGACATTCAAGTAACTTTACATTGTACTTCACTGGTTCGAATCCCAGGCCAGCAACTTGGATTCTCAGGCCCAATTAACATATCTATAGCCCCTGAGGTCAGTTGGGGGAAGGTGAGAGTTCTGCAGGAGACGCCCAGGTGAATGGGCTGCACCTGGAAAAGGGATTAGGGAGGATGGGTTCTTTGTCTATAGAACAAAGAACCGAGAAGTAGCTAAGATATTTTTAGTTAATCCTTTGGAGAAAGGTTTAACCTTGCAACCTTTAGTCTCGGCTTTAGGAAAATATCACATTTATCTGTGGATTTTCAAAGGCTCCAGTGTATTAATTTAATATATATACCTGAATATTAAGATGAAAGCAATTTTCCATTAACTGCCAGTGGCCTCATTTGTTACACTCAGCCCTAGAAGGCCTCGAACCTCTGACCAGTCTTACACGGTCTGCAACAGTAGTTAAGAATTTTTAATTTTTTTTTAAAAGGTGACTGAACTGCATAACATCAAAAACATAACCAGACTGCCTCGAGAGACAAAGAAGCATGCAGTGGCAATTATATTTCATGATGAAACATCGAAGACATTTGCCTGTGAATCAGGTAAGCAATTACGGCCCCACTACTTGAGGAGGAGACTGAGCTTCTCCTGAGACAGAAGTCCAGATGGATTCTGCTTTGGTGCTGGCTGGGATGGCTCTCTGTCTTGAGCATGTGTGCTGCGGGAGGCTCGGGTCCACACACAGTATTTTGATGACTACAGATGTTGGGGTGCTTCTTTGTTGTCCTGTGTCTGGCTTTTGCTCCCAGGTGGTGTGAGGAATCTTGAGGTTCCCCTCCAGGTTTTGTAGGTTAAGTCACCAATATCTGGGGCACGTTGTTAAGGAGAGCAGCTGGTTGGTATTCTGGCTCTTGATAAGTGTTGCTGAAGGCACGTTGTAAGGCAGTGATCCACACTGCAAACTCATGGCCAAGCCCTGCCTACATCCCCAACATTTAAAAACAGAACTTTAAGCTTGTGTATTCCTTCCAGGGATGCTCAGTAGGACAGGTAAAATCCCCCTCAAACTGAAGGCTAGCGTCCCAGTTCCTAAGGCACCATGACAGCATCAAGACAGAAGGCAGTTTGTCATCTTTTTAATTCTGGAATCCTGGTTCTATGTCTTAATTTAGTTGGATTATATAGCTTTTAAAAGACCTTCTTTTGAATCTCAATAAAATAATTTTTTTAAGCAAGAAGTTGCTTGGTGAAATGGTGTATTTGTTTTAGAATATGTGGAAGCCTAAGTTAGTAAGGATTTGAAGGAGGTGAATTAAAATAATTCAGTACAAGCAGTAGCTCGTACCGAGTTAGAGTTCACAGGTATAATTACTACTAACTCATTTTACAAATGATCCATGGTGTTTTGTCTAACTAAAATTGCTCATATACTTTGTAACCCATACTTACTCTTAGTTTACGAAACTGACTAAGCACTGATCAGAGTTCACCTTCCATTGAACGCCTGTTCCTTTCACTCTCCTGGCTGCTGACCTCACTTCATCATTTAAAATGGACTCTTGGGAGCTGCATGGATTCTCCACCTTGCCCATAGCATCTATTAGTTTCCCAAATTCTTTTTCCTTGTCTACTGTCTTAAACTGTTGCAGCAGTTCATTTTCTTTCTGAGTTCTTTAAAAAAAACACCACATATTAAAACTTATAAACACCAGAAAATAAGTTTTCAAAAAAGTTTATAAAAGGTGATTTTCGCTTTTGATTCCAGTTTTCAGTTTTAAAACTTTGGCAATGTTCCGCACTTTTAGAATCGTACTGACTCACATTGTGACTATAATACAGTCTGTGGATCCCAGGAGCCCTGATGGTGCCGTAGGCGAGTGATTGGTTGCTAATTGAGAAGTCATCCTGGGGAACCCATGAGCCACTCCCCAGGTGATAGATGCTTCCTAGTCTGGGAATATCTGCGGAGCCCTTCGACTCAGTCCTGGGGGTCTCTTTAAGTCAGAATCAACTCAACAACAGCTGGGAATGTTGTATTGCTTTACATACTACAAAATGTCTAGAAGATTCCATAGAAAATTCAGAAACCAAGGAGCTAAGACTTGATGCAAACATAACCATGATGCCAAAAGTCTGGTCCCTGGTAGGAAAAAACAAACAGAAAATTAATGTCATCAGTATATAAATACTTGCTCTGCAACAAAGAAGGAAAATATAAGCTACAGACTGGGAGAAGAAATTTGCCAAGTACATATTAGGCAAAGAACTCCTTATCTAGGATCAGTAGGAAACTTTCGGGACTCAACCTTTAAAAACAAAACAAAAAAACCATTAAAAATGGCTAAGCGACACCACACTGAAAAGTGCATACAGATCACTATCTCCAGCCATTGGGGAAATACAACAATGAGTATCATGGCACACCTTCCCAAATGGCGAAAATAGTTTTGAAGGGAATGACATGAAGTACTAGTAAGGAGGGGAGAAATGGGTTCGGTATATGTGACTGGTAGGAACATAAATTGGTACATCCATTCTGGAAAACCGTTTGGCAATTTCCTACCCAATTAACATGTTTTTGTTGGTGCTAAGTGCTTTCGAGTCTGTTCCGACTCATGTTGTTTTTGTTAGGTGCCATCAATTCAACACCAAGTCATAGCGACCTTATGCGCAACAGAACAAAACACTACCTGGTCCTGTGCCAACCTCACAATCATTGCCACGCCTGAGCCCATTGCTGCTACCACTGTGCCCGTACATCTCATTGGAGGCCTTCTTCTTTTTCTCTGACCTTCTACTTGACTAAACATAATATCCTTCTCCAGGGACTGGTCCCTTCTGACAATATAGCCAAAGTATGAGAGATGAAATCTGGCCATCCTGGCTTCCAAGGTATACTCTGGCTGTACTACTTCCAACACAGATCTATTTATTCTTTTGGTAGTTCATGATATTTTCAACTTTCTCCTCCAACATCATAACTCAAATGCATCCGTTCAGTTCCTCTGTGGTCTTCCTTACTGTCCAACTCTCACATGCATACAAGGTTATTGAAAATACCATGGCTTGGATAAGGGACACCTTAGTCTTCAAGCTGACACTTTGCTCTTCAGCACTTTAAAAGAGGTCTTGTGCAGCAGATTTGCCCAATGCAATGTCTTTTTCTTGACTGCTGCTTGCATAAGTGTTGATGGTTAATCTGAGCAAAATGAAATCTTTGACAACTTCCATCTTTTCTCCATTTATATGGATGTTGTTAATTGGTGCAGTGGTGAGGATTTTTGTTTTGTTTGGTATTTACTTTGAGATGCAACCCAAAGGCTGTGGTCTTTGATCTTCATCAATAAATATTTTAAGTCCTCGTCACTTTTGGCAAACAAGGTTGTATCATCTGCATATCACCATTGATAATGAGTCTTCTCCAATCCCAATGCCATGTTTTTGTTCATATAATCCAGCTTCTCGGATCACGTGCTCTTCATACACATTGAATAAGTATAGTGAAAGAATACAACCCTGGTGCACACCTTTCCTGATTTAAACCCATTCAGTGTTCCCATATTGTGTTTGAACAACTGCTTGTTGCTGTATGTACAGGTTCCTCATAGGGACAAGTAAGTGTTCTTCATAATGTTGTCCATAGCTTGACATCCACACAGTAGAAAGCCTTTGTGTAGTCAGTAAAGCACAGGTAAACATCTTCCTGTATTTTCTGCTTTCAGCCAAGATCCATCTGCCATCAGCAATGATATCCCTCGTTCCATACCCTCTTCTGAATTTGGCTTGAACCCCTGGAAGTTCTCTGTCAATGTATGGTTGCAGTTATTTTTGTATTATCTTTAGTGAAACTATTCTTGCATGTGATATCAGTGATACTGTCCGATGATTTCTGCATTCCATTGCGTCACTTCTCTTTGAGAGGGGCACAGATACGGATCTTTTCCAGTCAGTTGGCCAGTAGTTATCTTCCAAATGTATTGGCTTAGATGAGTCAGCGCCTCCAGTGCACCATCAGTTGAAAGCTTTCCAACTGTATTCCATCAGTTCCTGGTGCTGTGTTCTTTGCCAGGGCTTACAGTGGACCTCGGATTTCTCCCTTCAGGATCACTGACTCTTGATCATAAGCTACCTCTTGAAATGGTTGAGCATTGGCCATTTCTTTTTGGGTCAGTGACTGTGCATTCCCTCTATCTTCTTTTGATGCCTTCTTCATTATTCAGTGTTGTGCCTATAGAATCCTACAGTATTACAAGTCGAAGTTAGATTTTTTTTTTTTTTTTTTCAGTTCTCTAAGCTTAACAAATGCTGAGAATGTTTTTCCATTTTGGTTTTCTGACTCCAGTTCTCTGCACATTTCATTAGAATATTTGACTTTGTCTTCTCGAGCTGCCTTTTGAAACGTTCTGTTCAGCTCTTGAACCTCCTCACTTCTTTCATTTATTTTAACATCTCTCTATGCTAGGAAGCAAGTTTCAAAGTCTCTTCTTACATACATTTTGATCTTTTCCTTCTTTGCCTTCTTAATGACCTTTTGCTTTCTTTCTGTATTATGTTCTTGATGTCATCCAACAAGTCTTCTGGTCTTGGGTCTTTAGTGTCTAATACATCAAATCTGTTCTTCACATGATTTCTAAACTTAGGTGGGACATATTCAAGGTCATGTTTTGACTTTCATGGACTTGTTTTCATTTTCTTCAGCTTCTATGTGAACTTGCATATGAGCAATTGATTGTCCATTCCACAGTCTACCCTGGGCCTTGTTTCAGTGGATGACATGGAGATTTTCCACCATCTCTTTCCACAGATGTAGTCAATTTGATTTCTGTGTGTTCCATGTGGTGAGGTCCATGTGAATAATTGTATCTTATCCTGTCTAAAGAAGGTATTTGCAATGAAGAAGTCATTGGTTTTGCAAAATTCTGTCATGTGGTTTCCAGCATCATTTCTATCACCGAGGCCATATTTTCCAACCACTGATTCTTCCTCTTTGTTTCCAAACTTTCCATTCCACTCACCGATAATTATCAATCATCTTCATCGTATGTTTGATTAATTTCAGACTGAAGAAGTTGGTAGAATTATTCAATTTTATTATCACTGGCTTTATTGGTTGATATGTTAATTTGAATAATAATGGTCTTCCTGGTAGACATATGAATATTATCCTGTAGCAGACAGTGTTGTACCTGAAGACAGATCTTAAAGTGTTGTTTTTGATGATGAATGTGATACCATTCCTTTTCAATTTGTCATTCCTGGCATAGTAAACCATGTGATTGTTAGATTCACAATGGCTAATACCAGTCCATTCCAGCTCACTAATTCATAGGATATCGATGTTTATGCATTCCATTTCATTTTTTACAATTTCCAATTTTCTTAGATTCATACTTCGAACATTCCATTTTTTTTTTTAATTAATGACACAGCTATATCTCTTCATTTTGAGTGTGCCCCATCAGCACATTAAGGTCCCAACGGCTTTATTTCATTCACATCATCATGATCAACTCTGCTTTGAGGAGGCAGCTCTTTCCCAGTCGCATTTTGAGTGACTTCCTACCTGAGGGGCTCATCTTCTGGCTATATCTGACAATATCCT